CGCGTGATGAATTGAGAACGTGAAGGAAAGAGGAAAAGAGTGTAGCAGTTTATGTAGGCAGACAAAATAGTCTGTATTGGTCTATCAGTGAATAAACAAATAAACTGTTTCTTCTGGTTGTTGAGCAATACATTTCAGGGTCCGCATTTTTGTGGTTTGTTAGGATGTGTTTTCATGGGGAATTACGTGAATAAATTAAGAACTGAAGTCGGAATGTAACAATGTAGCAAGATGTCCCACTCTGTCGCCAAGTTAAATGCCCGACTTCTTGTACTTTATACGCTAAATTGCAAACAATGACATGAATAGAAGCGAGTACGTAATTGATGATACCGCCTGTACTAAACTTCGACATGTCGCTTTCGAGTTTGCAATAGCAAAGGTTACAACAAATAAATAAAATAAAACAAACTAAAATTGTCACTGGGGTTGGTGTCTTTTTTCAAAATATTTCTTTCCGGGTACCTCGCCACAGGGAGTGTCAGACCACTGTTGTTTAGCAAAGCTATGAATTGTGTCTTTGGTCACCGTCCCTCAACATACGGACAATAGAAGTCATCGTTTCTTAACCGGGTGTTGAGGGACGGTGCTTTGGTGGCAAAGTTTTGGATTTTGGTTTTTGCCATTTCAAATAGGACATTTCTTTCGGGGGGGGGGGGGGGTTCTTTGTGTCTCATTTTTCAAGTTATGGTCACTGAGGTAGAATTTAGTTAGATTTTCGCGCATCTCAATATGTTGCAGGGTAACAAGGTAGGTTTCTAAAGCAAAATTGTTTTTTAATTCACATTATGTTTCTTAATTTATTTTTTAAATATGGCGCAATCGTTATTCGAAATAACAGTTTTCACTGTTTTCATATTTCCATGTATATTATCAATTTGTGTCATGTTTTTTTTTTTCAACTTTATGGTCACAAAAACATTGGAGTTCGCGTGATCGGTGCGTAAAATACTTCATAGCTACAAGCGTGGGCATACTAACTTGTAATCGACAGACATGGATGAATAAACAAACATCTCGTGCGAGGCGCGATTAATGTTAGAAGCTTTCCT